TGGGTAAGCGACATAAAAAACGAGAATGTAAATGGAAATTCAACCTTTAATGTGTCCACATAGGCTACAACACAAGCCCAACGAACCTCAGACAAACAATGCATACTCGGGAGAGGTACATACGTACGCAGTGGAGTGCAAGCATGGCAAGAGATAGATGCGGATGAATAGGTGAAGAGACAAACGAAAGGATGCAAAGGTGGACGGGCTGGAAAGCATACGAAGACGCAGTTGCTACTCTTGCGATGAATCAACCACGAGACGACCCCAAGCCACAATGTTTGCAAGTGCTACTGTTGTAAGTCGTAATAGTAAAGAAAATAGGCTGTACAGGCGAGAAGTAGGCTTCGGTCCAAAATTTGCAAAATACATCTCAGGATAAGATGGGAGAAGAAGGGGACTTACCCTTAGAATTTGGTGGGTAAGAACCTAGGAATCGTACCACCTGAAAATCGGTAGTCAAATTCCGCGCACGACTGAGACAATACAGGGAAATGCAAGTAATGATTGACAAAAGGGAATGCGCAAAAACTGAAAGTGAATCACAGGTTTCAAGGTGTCAATGTAAAGGAAAAGCAAAATACTAATAACGAGGAGGAACAGGATGAAAGAGGATCAGAAATCATGTTCAAGAGCAGACTTCTGCATCGAGAGACGTGGAAAGACTAAGGTCGTGTCGAATGACATCGCGCAAATCATGCAAAGTATGCCACTTATGTTCAAAGTCACGGATACCCCTCGCGCGGAATAAGAGCAATGCAGACAAAGCACGTTTGAGTAGGGAAAAAATGATGGCCGAAGGCCCAAAAGACAAGGTAATGAGCAGGACCGCTAAACCATAAAAACGGGACTCTGGCATAGCGATAATAGAAAGAAATATACAAAATCGGAAGAACTCGAGGAAGAATAAAGTGGCAAAATAGGCCGGAGGAAAATCCGAGGACTGTGAATTTGGGGCCTGGCGCTGGAGCAAATATTGTAGAAATAAAAGAATTGAACATGTTAAATGCTGTGATTAACGTCGGCAGCGAGCCGCGAGACAAAGATACAAAAAGATAGGGAAGGCACGGGCTGGAGTACGATGCAGTCCCTGGCATAAATAAAACGCAAGACTCCTAATTCTTTCCAGGAGCTAGTTTGAGGTGTATGCGTGCATTCTAAAAAGTAAGGAAAGCTCGGTTGATAAGAAGTGAGGCAAGGCTTTATGGAGCCGCTCGCTTGACCAACAGCAAAAAAGGGAATGTATGTCTTGGATATGAAGTCGTATAGGCACAAACCTCCACGGCCCGGTCGTTTGCTAGGTTGAGCGAATTCAGTTGAGTAAGAAGACTTGCGGATGGTAATGGGGAATGGACCAAGCAGCTCACAGACAATCTCAAACAGACAGCAAACAAGTGCCAGTGCGATCATTTCAGGTGGATTGTGCCATTTATAGGCACTTAATGTGGACTTGATGAATCGGTATTGCTGAATGAATTGATCATGGTATGGTTGAGGTTAAAAGTCGAAGAGCATGTTATCCGTTTTAGCTGCAAATGTAAAAGTGTCTTCATTGCCATCGCCAGACGGAGGGTTATTTCCGCTGCCCGAATTGGCTGCATCAAATTCCTCTTCAGCCGCGACAGTCTCGTCGTAATTCTAAAAGAATAAACGCGTTATTCCATGCCGAGACCCAAAAGCAGCGCAAAAAACGAACTTACGGAACCATATAGCATTTCCAGAATGTTATATGCAGACTTGAATATGGAAGGATTAACATTTTGCTGCAAGTCCTCGATGAGGTTCAATCCACCACACGATTCGATGGAGCTGATAACGTCCTCCAGCATGCTTCCAGCCATCTTGATAATATTAACTATTCCATCAAGGACCACTTGAACCACTTGAGAATCTCGTGAGGATAGCAATTTACAGAGAGGAGGAATCACGTTTTGCGATATGAGGTAACGCACCTAGGGAACGAAGCGATTCTCAACAACAGAAAAATGCAACTTGAAGACAAGAGGAAATGGTGATTACCTGTTGCTCATTTCCATTAATTGTCAAGTTTGAAATAGCCCATGCAGCCTCCTTTT